TTTTTCATTTTTGAACAAATCCGCAACACTGTCTCTCCGACCCCTATCAAAAGTCATTTTTAATAAGTGATTACAGACACTTTGAATTTTTGCTGTAATGTAACCTTTTTGACGATGCATTCAAGTGTATATACAATATCGTATATGACTTTCTATTATGAATGGTATAATGTTAACAGGCACGACTTATTAAGGTTTTTATTGATTTTTGAAATAGCTCGAATGCTTTCCTTGTTTTAGATAGTACTGATTGTGAATGATATTTCCATGACAATTTGTCATCGAACAAAACACCCAGGAAACGAATTTGGTTTACTCTTTGAATGCACTTGGACTGCAGAATTAGCTCATCGTTAAGAATAGAAAGTTTTTGTTTAGGTGCATTGAAAATCATGTACTTGGTCTTTTCCGCATTTACTGTTAGTTTGCTAGCAGTTAGCCATTCTTAAGTATTAGTAAGGTCAGCATTAGCTTTTTCAATAAGGTCTGGTAAATTTTTACCCTGTAGGAACGGAGTGGTGCCATCTGCAAATAGGATAGCATCAACGTTTTTGAGTGATTTAGGGATGCCATCAATCATAATTAAGAAAATATAGGCCCCATTAGCGACCCTTGAGGGGTTCTTAAAGTGCTCCGTGCGGAGCCCCAGGGCGCCGTGTAAGAAACCTAGGGGCTCCACAAACTGATCGATTACTGATCGGCTAATTTTGTAACTGTCCAAATAAGCAATACCAACATTAATAAAATTTGACAACTGTGGCGTCAAAACATGGCAACATTGCGGCAATTCAATTATATATATGACATTATCTATAAGCAGCAGCGCAACCAGGATTTTCTAAATAGAGAGTCGGTTTAAAATTTGGAATTGAAAATTACCGCGCAACATTCCTCGCGATTAGGCCACTCGTTGAAAAAAGACTTTTTAAGCGGATAACGAGTTTTCTGTTGCATAAAATATTCAATCCGTGGCCGATGCGAACATTTATAATATCTTGTCAGATTTATTTAAATGTGTTCAGTGTTACTCGCCTTTGAGTTGAGATTACTGTTACGATAAATGAAATATTATTATTCTAAAATGACATCAAACACGTGAAAATCCAAAAGTCGGCGTAAAAATTTCAATGAGTACAATTTATAATTGAGCAGTTCATGACCGATGCATTTGTTCATTGGTTTAATTGTGTTGGATGTAACTGTGGTTGAGTCATTACTTATCAAAACTGACTCGAGTTTGCTAGAACAAAACTTATGTCCGTTCCGTTTTAAGTTTTAATATTTTATAATGCCGCTTTTTAATGAAGAAATTCGAATTGCGGATCCACTTCTTTATTATTTATTTTTATTATCTTCATCGTCGTGTTCGTGGAACAATTCGTGGAAAGCCTAATTAATATCAGGGCTGGATTATGTTTTTTATATAAGTCAGTCAGTATATATAAGCCTCAGCTGATTTTTATTGCGCCCACCCAGTTCTGAATGTTTCCGTACTCTGTGGGCTTTTTCCATTCATTCGTAATTTTTGTCGCTCTTCTACTTCCGCCCTGAATCTTGCGGTGTTTATTTCATATGGGGCTTGGGGGCTTTTTGCTTTTTTTATGCTTCCATTAACTTTTTCGATACGTGCTTGGGATGTTTTCCACTTTTCGCTTTTTTTTTTACCTGGGTGCTGATTTGTATTTTGATCCTGCATGCTGATTTGGGGCTCGCTTGCTGACACCTCGATGATCTCGCCCTGATCGATTTTTGTTTTCCTTTTTTTTTACTCCACACGCTGATCGATTATCGATTACGCTTATCGATTACTCACTCACTCCTATTTTTTACTTTTGCTGCTCTCGCCTGACCTTTCCAACCCTGAACTGCTCTCGTCTTGATAACTTTCGCCTCGATAACTTTCGCTCTCTCTTGTCTCCCTCCATTTACTCCGCCCTTATCGCTTGGCCATCCCGCTGATCGATTTTTGCTGACTCCCTCCCACACATATTGGCTCGTTTCCTTTTCATCTCTGCTCTCCCTGGCTGTTTTTTTTTTTTTTGTTTCTTTCCATCTTGCTCTCCTCGGCTGCTTGCTCTCTCGCCTGACCCTTTTTCTCCTCAACTGCTCGCCTTGTCTCCATTTTTACTCCACACTGACCGTTGTCATCCCGCTGATCGATTTACGCTCACTCCTATTTTTATTTTTCCTTGCTCTCGCCTGACCTTTCTCCCCCCTCAACAGCTCTCGTCTTGATATCTTTTGCCTCGATAACTCCCTTGTCTCCATTTTTACTCCACCCATTTGTTTGGTTTGGCCATCCCGCTGATCGATTTTCGCTGACTCTTTCTCATTTGTTTCCTTTTCATCTCTGCTCTCCCTGGCTGCTGCTCTCGTCTGCCTCTTTTTCCCACAACCGTCTGCCTTGCTTTGCTGCCTTGTTTGATGGTCCACCCTTACAGCTCACTCCCCCATGTGGGGCCCAACGTCCTTCCTTAACTGCTCTCGTCTTGATATCTTTCGCCTCGATTTTTTCTTTGGCCGCTGCTCTCGCCTGCCTCTTTCTCCCTCGACCGTCTGCCTTGTTTGATGGTCTACCCCTACAACTCACTCCACCATGTGGGGTTCGAACCACGATCCTAATGTTTGATCATGTCTGAACGCTTCCCCTGAGCTACAGCTACTGTTGAGAATAGGGTGGATTAAAATCTTACTTAATTAACGACGTCACACTTGACAGCCTGTGACGAGGCTAATCGCCTACAGAATGATGGCGCACAGCCTGAAAACTAATCTGGTACACATACTATGTTAAAGTTGTGCGCCATCTTGGTGCACATATTTCGGGAGCTCCCAAATTACATTGATTCGAAGCATGTTCATTCGTACCTCAATTGAAAGCGTTCATCTGGGACTATCGTGTGCGCTGCTTCAACTGTTGAATGCGTGAATATCCCGTTTTAAATCTGTTGTTCATTTTAGTTTTTAAGGAAAATGCTAAGATAATTCAAATTAGTGAATGTGCAAACCAAATTTCTGACTGTCAGTGGAGGAATACTAATTTAATCTTTCTGTCTCTTGTGCTAACTAGCCGTCGTATCTCTGGTTTACTTTTCTGAATTTATAAAACATCTCAGATAAAAATTGGCGATGCGTTATGCCCTTTTATAGATTGAAACGATATCGTACACACTAAAAAATGAAAAACACCGTAAATTTTGTCCGAAGAATCCCACGACATGTGAAACATGCTACCCCAGTCATTAAAGATGAAATGTAGCAAATTGCGCGTGTTATGCACCTTTCTATTCATTCTGATACTACGTCGAGGTCACGCGTCATAGTGTTACGGTTAGTAGATGTTTCTACAGTGTATTGAATCAGAAGACTCAGATTCCGGATTTGTGGTTTATTATGGCGACAACTTCGTGTTTAAAACACTTAAAACAGCAAAAAACACAGAATACAGAAAACACGCCCGCCTGCCAGCGCGGCAGCCGGAAAAGAAGAGCGTGAAACTCTTTTTCTAACAACTCGAGGGTGATTGGAGTCTCACAATAACCGGACCCGGATGAAGTATATCCAAATTAAGGGTCCTCGAAAAAGCATATAGGCATAATAAAAAGACAAACTAAACTAAAACACACGGATAATAAAATCCGTGACAATAGTTCCCATGATTCAGATGAAATTTCAGATGAAATTTTTGAAGGCTGTAATCAATGTGGAGGCTGTGGTCAATTAATCTTCCATTGTATTATAAGTGCATTCATTGCGGTTTGTATATTAAAATTTTGGACCTCCTGAAGTATGCGCACCAAGATGTCGCATAACTTGAACCCTAACCTGGTACACAACCTGAGTTCAGGAGGTTTAAAATTTCTGTGGTGCCCCATTTTCCTTTGCTCCCTAAGCACGTGCTTATTTTGCCTAATGGACAAGACAGCACATCTCAATATATATATATATATATATATATATATATGAAATTTATTTGTGAAATTTAGCATCATTTGTGGCTTTTATTTATCGTATATAATATAAAAGGTTTAGCTTTTGAATTGGGTAAAGTAATTTCAACTTACCCATGATCACCCTTATCTTTGCATGAGGTTGTAGGTATTGGTCATTATCAACGTAATTGTTGAAAGAGAGTACAACAGCCCGAAAGTTTATTACTATCGTGTATTTTGTTTTTTAAGTTTAGCCCAAGCCTCATTTAATTGGGCTTGTGTTTTTGTGTGCGTGCTGGTGGGCAGGCACATGAGATACTTCATGTTTTAAACTTTTTTGTAGGTTTTGCTTGCCCTCCAGAATTCTCCATTTTAAATTTAGGTTTGTTATGGAGTTTTCGAAAATAAACTATCTATCTAAACTATCTATCTATCATTAATCGTCAAGTAACAATGTGTTGTTTTGTTTGTTTTATTTTTAAAATTTATTGTGGGCTCCGTGAATAATAATCAACTTCTTCAACAGCTCCGTAACATCAAAAGTTTGAGAACCCCTGGTTTACAGCACCAGGTAACACAATAGGGTTCTTTTTCCAATTTTCTGTATCCTACTCATTTTATGGATGAACCACTGCATTTCAAATGAATCCAGTGTGAACAGTGGTCGCAAAAAATACTGTATTCATTATCTCTTACAATTTTACTACAACCATGGCATGATAAAACATCAGTATTATTTTTTCTGGTCATTAATGCTTTCTAATAGACTATTTAACGGCTGTACTACGATCCACATTGCCGAAAGATAGTCGTTTATGGGCTTCAGTCAACAAGATGCGGCGTCGTTCGGGAAGAGATTCGGTGTTGGAAAGGCGGGTTCCGCGGAGTCTTTATGGGGCAGAATAAATTTGTTATTTAACGCTTCGACGTACAAATTTGACAATGATCGGTGTATTTCCTTTCGAGTCCTTTGATAAGACGTGTGTCGTATCGTGTCCCCGAATTGAACAGGATACTTTCAAGCGTGTATTTAGAGTCCTCGCCTACAAACATCTCAAACCTTTGATATGGTTTGGACTTTCCTATGGAAATTTAATAATTATTATGTATTTGTGCAAGTGTTTTTGGAATGTACAAACGCAAACAGAATTTAAATTCACACCGAGCTGGTGTGAAGAGTTTTGGAATAAGCTAAATCGGAATATAACGAAAAAATCTGGAGGAAGTCTATCAAGTTGACAGTTGCACGGCTGAATAAGTCTCGTACAGCTGGCTGGCGAACGCTTTGTTTACATTTTGCGGTTTCGCAATTTCTGCAAGGACTTGGGTTCGACGATTTGTTCTGTTGTTCGCTATTTTCTCTGATTTCAGAATTGATTAAAACAGTTTTTGTTTTAATTGCAACGAAAAAAAGTGAAAAACGTCGAGTTTTTGGGTTGCGATTTTGGTTGTGTTGCTGGCTGCCTTCGGTGCTATCCACTGGTCAACAGACAAGGAAGTGGAAGAGAACGTTAATGGAATAATGGCTGATCAGTTTAAGAAATTCAGGTAGGTTGTTTTATATGACTGATTATAAGATCTTACCATGAGTCCCGTACCGTACTTGTCAGAACTGGTGTAGACTATTAACGACATTGATTCATTTATAATGAAGGTGTAGAATGTCAGAATTAGATAGATAGTTTATTTCGAAAACTCCACAATCTGACAATGGTACAGTCGTACAGACAAATAAAAAATAGGGAATTCTGGAGTGCGAGCGAAACCTTAAAAAAGTTTAAAACAAGATTAGTATCATGTGCCCGTTCACCAACACGCATTCACAAATAAAAAACACAAACTTTGTTAAACAAGGCTTGGGCCAGAAATAAATACAGAAATACACAAAAAATATGTGAATGTAATAAACTTTCGGGCTGTTGTTTACTTTTAAAATACTCAAGCTAAGAATTCTTATATAAATCACAGGAAACTCCAGAACTCAGAAACTGGAAAAGGGAAGCCAAAAAATGCTGAAATGGTTAATAACAGAACAGCAAAATATTGGTTCCATTACATTTGAACCCACTTACATTTGAACCCATGACAATAGCACCTACGTACTATTGCACCTATAGAAGAAATTTTTGTTTTACGAATGTTTGAACCCATACTAACCCTAACCCATGGATTTTAGCACCCACATATAGCTTGAACCCGCGGATATACACATGGGTTCAAATGTACGACCACCCAAAATATTATATCATTTAAATGTTAATTACCTATTCCTCGATCTTGGTTAACTGAACTCAAAACTGCTCCTTGTATTTAATTAATTGCCCATTTCGTCATATATAGATATATTACTATATTAGCCAATATCTTTATATGGCATTGATTATAACACTGCCGGACACAGGCTTGTATAATTTTGTAAGGGGAACACGCGGATATATTGAGAACTGATCTTATCAGAACTATTGCACTGTTGTATTAATTGCTTGAGGCGCAGTTCTTACCACTTCATGGCAGCTCCTGCCACGAACGAACCGCGGCAGCTCTTGTCATGGTTTTAATAGCGGTATTCAGTAATCAGTATTAACGGTATATTCACAAATTAATGTACCAGATTTTAATTGATCAAGCGGATTTATATCTACTTGAACCCTAACCCTGACCCCAAATCCATCAAAACTGTATTCATAAGAAAAACGTTCCAACTTATTCAATATTTGTCACCATAAAGGACAGCCCTGTCTTTACGGCCCACCTGCCGTGGTTACGGCAGCAAAATTTTACTTGCCATTAGTTTTCAATTTGCTGCCGCTGTAACGGCAGCTCGTCATTGGTATGTGGCAGCTAAAAAGTCAGTCGCCATAGGTTTGGCCGTAGCGGCCATGGTATGGAAATACAGCCATGGTTTTGCGGCAGCTGCAGACGCCACAGAATACTTAAAACTGCACTTGAATTGCTTAACATCAGGTTTACGCATCCCGAAAAATCATATTTTAATCTATTTCCATTGTGGCTGTGATATGCCATATCATTAAGCTGTCTTATTAGCTTTCCCGTTCTCCCAATATAATAATCAAAATACAAAAATAATAGTCTACTATATCCAGTAAACTGATAGATGTCTTATGTACTTTCTTTCATGGGAGAAATAAATAAATCCTGCATATTATCTAATTCTCAGCACAGGGAGGCTATCTCTATTATAAAGATATTTATTTTCATCTTGTTAAATATATTCCAGAATATTCATCAGCACATGGAACGTAGGGGAAGCTGATCCATTGGATGAGAAAGAATTTGAAAAATTATTGAAATCAGATGTTGAAGTTGATTTCTATGCCATCGGGTGAATATCTGTTTTGTTTTTAGTTTCATAACAAGGTTTTCATTTTATTTAAATTAATTTAATTTTATAATCAAACCATGAACTTTTTTACTAGCAATACCTGTCTAAAATATAAGGCCCTAGTAGTTTTTTTTAGTTGTGATGTGCTGTTACGACTTTTGCTTTGAATAACTTTCTGTTCAAGCCCTCGGTAAGGTGATGAACGTGAGTAGGGAGTACCCAGTGGGGTTTCTGCAGGTTGGACCCCTGCATTTAAAATGTGAAAAAAGCATTTTTCTGTATCAACTTCTGAAGGGAAAAGCGCCAGGGTGTTCAAAAGTTTGGTTGTGGTTAATTATCTCACATGTTTTAGGGAAATAATAAAATTTAAAATTGTATCAATATTTTTTCCAGGTTTCAAGAAATCAAAACTGGGGCGAAAGAGACTGCGAAGAGTTTCATCAAATACGATGACTGGGCTCAAGCTGTCATGGAATTTCTGTCAAAGAAAGTTTCTATTTGGTAATATAGATTTTTAAAATTTACCCTAGGGAGAGAAGAGCTGATAAAAGGGAACAACTAACTAATTCAGACTCTGATGAACCCAAAAGGTCATATCGTTGCCACCAAGTCACACAAGAAAAGCATCTGTCTGTTTATTATTTATAAATGTTTGCATATATTGTGTGTTTTATGGTATGACGAATGAAATAAACTCTCTTCCTCTCTCTGATAAGAAGGGTTAATTTATGGGGAACCATGGTCCCTGATTCAATTGCCAAACCCATGCATGGTAATCAGTAGATTGATGGCGAGCTCATTCTCTTCCACGGATATCCAAAACAGATAGAAAATTAAATGTATTCAATATTGGTGATATTTGATATTGTAAATATTTCATTTTAAATATAAGGTAGATTAGAATAATTTATTTTGAAATTTATCATTTTGACAATTTGATCGGACATCAGAGAAAAGTAAGAGCTAGGTCAACTTCTAACGGTGTTGAATAAAGTTGTAAGTCAAAATAACATCTACCGGTATCTCAATAAACATCAGACAAAAAAAAAGAATTGACTTAACTTCTGACTTTGTAAAATGAAAAATCAATCGAAACAATATTTATCTTAACTACTCAATTATTAAATTTAGATTTAATGATGTTGCAAAGATTAATAATACAAGTTTTGTTGTTGAACATTACTCATTATGAAATTATTCATTATTGCGTATTCAAGAATATACAGGTCATTAGAAATGCTGAAAATTAGTCAAACATTTTGTCAGTCCCCAAGACGGATTTTCACATTTGAAAAAAAATATCATTTTGTCTGTCTGTAGCAAGTCTGGTAGCTTTTTTCTGCCTTCTTCCTTGATGTTGGTGTCGAAATAAAATAAAATAGAAGTTAAAACAACCTAGAACCTAAAATAAATGAGAACATATCGAAAAATAAATAAGCATGCATTTTATTCGTTATCTCTTCTGACCTTCAAATTTTCTGCTGTGCTTTCGACCACCCTGTATGTTCAGAATGTATTTGCCACAAACTGTCGGTTCTGCATTCTTCTAGCCATCCCTGTACCAAACATAAACATAGTATTTTTTTACCGGGGAAGTTTTGTGAAACAAGCCTCACTTTTTTTGACAGATTGAAAGTGTGAGAGTCCAAGGGATTTCACTTAGTGTATTGCATCAATCAAGCATCTGCCGTATGTTCAATTTGTCAAGACAGAAATTGAAAGAACAGGAGTTGCTGGTGCATGGGTGAGTCTTTATATATATCAGTTTTGTGTGAATGTGGGTGTGGCATGGGCGGTGCTTTTTGTATACCATGTACCAAAATCTTAAAAGTACTGTAAAAATATATATAAGATGTAAAAAGATACATAGCATTAGTGCAATCCAGATCCCAGATCTTAACAAGTCTTTGTCCAAAAAGCGTTCAATCCAAAATATCACCTACCGTAATCCAAGTTATGAGTAATTGGGTGGGCGATGCTGAACAGGAAAGGTCCATTTACTTTCATAATATGTATCTTTTTTCATCTTCTATATACTTTTACAGTACTTTTAAGATTTTGAAAATTGGGAAAAAGTTTTCACATTCTCAATTCTTTGACCAAAATAAAATTCTCACACAAGTGTTTAGTGGACATTAATCATGTTATCAGGTTGAACAAATTATCATTGGCAGGGTTGAATATTTGCTGGCTGGAATATTTTACAAATAGAACTTTTAGAGGAACTTTTGTATGTGGCATCATTAATAATGCAGTTAAAAGTAAGCATGTCTTCATTGCCAAGAGATTAGAATGGTGATCAAGAATAATTTTGCCAGTTTTAGAATAAATTTTTCATTAAATAACTCTCAAAGCCAGGTCATTAATATTCATTTTAAAGAGTGTTGGGTTTATTTTATAGTTTCTGACAAGTTACAAGATTCAGGGCATAATTTTAGTTCTATTACAAGTTCGGGGACCGTCTGTGTTAGCCAATTGAATATATTGGTATACACACTTCTGGGTGCTCTGGAAGTATGTGCACCAAGATGGCGCACAACTGGAACCCTAACCTCATACACATACTATGTTCACGTTCACGTTGTGCGCAATCTTGGTGCACATACTTTGGGAGCACCCACTTCTGGAGCACCTATAATATAGTACCTAGTCTCTAACGAGTTAGGAGATTCTACTATTTACAAAATTTTCTCTACACTCTGTTGGGTAGTCTGTTACACAGATTCTTTACGGATCACCAACTTTGTATAAATCCAATGTTTACAAATGAAGCATAACAAATTAATCCTAATGTAAGCCTAACTGTTAAAAAGATTTTAATACAAACAAACACTCCAAAATTAGTTAAATAGGAAATAACACAAACATTTCTGAGACAGGATGGGAGAAATGGCATAACCCAATACACTCTAATATATTTATTAGGTTAATTGGGTTGCAAAATTTTTTAAAAGTGTGGTGCGAAGTGGGTTTTGTCATTAAATATGGCATTTGAATAAAGTACAATTGACCCGGTACAAGAATTGGGCCCAACTGACATTGCGGCTTCGCGACTTAATAAAGATCTTACATTCAATTCGTTTGCAGGTCAGAACCCCCTTTCAAAATGTAAAAAAAAGATTTTCCTGTTTCATACATAGTAATTTTTTGTAGTTTGAAACGCTTTTTTGGACTAAGACTCTTGGAAACCCACGTTTCCATAGTCTGATGAGTTAGAAGATTCTGCTATTTATGAACTTTCATTTGCACCCAAAGATACTTATTAGGTGTATATTGGACTGCAAAATTTTTGAAAGTTATGGTGGAAGTTGATTTTGATGGATTTTGCCATTAACTGCTAATAGGACAATTGACCTTGTTGGTACAAGAAGTGGGTGACCCTGGTACCTGGTGGGACCAACTGACATAGCATGGTTAATAAGATCTTACATTCAATTCCTATGCCGTACTTTGTTCAGTGTAAAATAAAGGGATTGCAGAATTTTAAGAATTGCAGTCCTTCATGAGACAGCCGCTCCTCAAGTTTTAGTGACTGATTGTATAAAGCTTTTTTTGGAGTGGAAGAGGCCACATTGCTAACCATTGTTTATGTGCATGCCATCGCGTTTCTTATCATAGTTGTAAAATGCTTGTCTGAAGAAGTCTGATCTCGTCAGACGTAACATTACTGAAATACATTTGTGTTAGTGTGCAGCAAGACTGTTGAATCAAATATTGTAGTCATCTTTATTTTTGCCACAGCACGGATCCACATCCACAAAGGCATAGAGCAAGGAAAAGTGGTCTCATATTTGAATAGTGAATTATTCTTTTCTAGCTGTCTTTTTTTAAACTTTGCAGGGAAACAAAGGGGGGAGTCGCGGTTTCATGTAACATCTACGGACAGAAAGTTTGTTTTTTGAACGTTCATTTATCAGCTCATTTGAATAATGATGATGCAAGGATTGATGACATCAATGAGATCATGAAGGAAATGGAATTTGGAGGAAACGCCACTGTGCAAAGCCATGAGTGAGTATTTTGTTCTATGAGGAAGTCAATGTTATTGAGTTATTAATTTAACACAACTTTGCCCAAAGTGAGGTCTTTCATCTAGTTACATTATTGTTTGTCTAAGGCTTAGTTCAGTGGTTCTCAACTGGGGGGCCCCAAGAGGGCTACATAGCAGTTGGAGAGGGGCCCATAAATCATAATGCCAAAGGCTTTAGGCATAAGGCATCAAAACTGATTTTCTCTCTTTCTACTTTTCTTTTCACAAAAAACTTCCCCTTTCTTCATAGTTACATTGCTTGATAAGGATATTTCACAGGGTGTTTTCACTTTGTTGAGCATGAATTGTTTGAACTTGATTGGTTTTGGAATCTACCAATCAAAATATCACTATAAATGCCACTTAAATGATGATTAACAGGGGGTCATGAGTGCTAAAAGCCTCTAAAGTGGGCCATAGGCCAGAAAAAGTTATGAACCACTGTTCTAGTTTGGAGTGATATCGAAACGAACTATTGGTATCCTTAAGCAACTGTTTAGAGCAGGATGAAATTATAGTAACAAAACATCCGTTTTGACGAATATATTCTTTAGACTAAATTCTATTATAACCTAACAAGTATATAATTCACAATTACTGGTTAAATGAGCCCATAATTTAATTATAATTAGATAAATGGCAACAAAACGCAGAAAATTTCAATGGCGCCGAAAATATTCAAATGGAACTTTATAAGATGCAATGGGGAAATAAATCTATATTCTATTCGAGAGATGTATCACTGCTTGATTTTTATTATAAAAAGTACCATCCGTTCGGTTTTTCAACTTTCTAAAAATATGTGCGACCTGTCAATGACTTACAACCTTAATTTTGACCCTCAAGCGACAAAAGGTTGCCGACCGCTGGTTTAGAGCTTTGTTCAGAGTAATAGTATAGTGCCCTATTTAAATTGTAATACAATTGTGCTGAAGCAAATATTTTGAACCTATCTTTGCTCGTCGATAGTGTTTGGGTACCACTCCAGTGGACCATGTAAATTGTAAAAATATCTCATTGCAGAAAAAAGGAAACCACATGTCATGATTATAATTCGTTTACATATAAATTTCATCTAGTTCCATTATTTCTTGTCACAGGTCTAATTTGGATTGATAATGTAACGGCCTATCCTTAAGCAACTGCTTAGAGCTTCGTTCAGAGTAATAGTGCAGTCACTGCAAAAATTTTGAGCTCAGCTTTTACATTTTCTAGCTTAGGGCTGTAGTTGGGTAACACTCCAGTGAACCATGTAAATTGTAAAACTATCGAATGCAGAAAAGAGTCAAACCCCATGTCATGTTCATAATCCGTTAACATATAAATTATGACAATCATATAATGCCAAAGTGCAAACCTTTTGTGGTTTCTCACAACCATGTTCAGAATGATACTGTAACAATACAAGACCTATAAACTGTTCACAGGCATAAACTAATGTTTTATTGAGAACAAGCAATACTTAACCAAAGCAGTTCAGTTATCACCACAAATAACAGAATATCTAGTCAGTTTCGTGTGCTATATCAACGTACTGATACCTCTGGAGACCAGCATGACAGTATGTATACCCCGGGAGCATGCTTCAGTGGTTTTACCCACAATGCCATACCATCATGCTGTGCTGTCATTGGTCGATTGAAGAATGAGAAATAGAATTAGAGCACAGTTATTCCAGGATGATAATCACTTAGACGAAATCTAAATGGTAACATAAAAGTTATCATAAACTACTATTTTCATTCACAGTCTGATTCTCATGTTTGGTGACATGAATTTCCGGATTGATCATTTTAGCCGAGAGGAAATCTTGAACCATGTAGCTGAGAAGAACTATTCTGTCTTGTGGGATAAAGATCAGGTGAGCTGTAATTTTGGGGGGGGGAGATCAAAACAGTGGTTCTCGAACGATGGGGCACGACCCACAAGGGGGGCGAAAACAATTTTTTTATTTTTACATTTCTGTACTCCTGAAGTATGTGAACCAAGATCGCGGACACAGGAACGTAATATGTGTACCAGGTCAGGGTTAGACTATTATTTTATTCCAATTTTCCTTATTTTGGTTCTATTACGAGTTCGGGGACTAGCCAAGTGACTCCCGTAGTATTTGTATCTGAATTTATGGCCTAACCCTATCCTGATACATATACTATGTTCCGGTGTCTGCCATATTGATTCACATACTTCCGGAGTAACTAGATGCTACATTTCTTTATTATGTACACTTATTTTCAACGTGTTTTCTTGTATAAAACATGCTTTCCCCTTGCTTCGAAGCTTATTGTTAGCTGGTTGTTTTTGAGATGGGTGCGAGAATTCACAAATTCTTAAAAGGGGGCGTGGCCTAAAAGGTTTGAGAATCACTGTATTAAAAGGACTTGCTACATACATATGCCTCCACATAAGATTTCATAATGTTCTTTCAACAGTTGGCTAAAATTTTGTCAACATTCCAATGACAATATCAGTTATATTATATCAGCTTGGTATTTGACGGTTTTTTTTCATTTAGACTAAATTCTTGACCGATCAAACATAAACCAGACATTGAATCATAAAAGCAATATATTTATCAAAATTTTAAAAATAGCTTTTATGAAGCCTGAATTAGATATTATGGCCTTTTGATGTTTCAACCACTTTCACTCGTATTATTATATTCTATGCTTGCTTGAAACAATACTTTCACTATTCCTTATTTTGTTGTTTCACTTATATTTACTCAAATTGTAAATCAAATAAATTGTCTGTGCTTGGCGATTATGATTTGAATTGTTTGGTTAATAATTAATATGAAAACTATATGCGGGTATTTGGTACGACTGTGAACAAAGCTGAACAATTTACTATACCAGAATAAATGATATTTTAGATACATTTTGGAATGATTGTTTCCATAATATCTTTTGCATATAGTTTTCATATTAATTATTAACCAAACAATTCAGAGCATAATCGCCACGATCTTCATGTGATATAGCATAGGGGATCTTCATACGATCCTGTTCATTAGGTATGACCAAAATTTCGCCAAACATAAGGTTCACATGCTATATTTACACTTGAGAACTCAGGTTTACGTTATTTTACACTACGTTGGTTTAACATTTGCCTCGAACACTTATCAAGCCTCACTCTGGATTTAATAAATTTTGAAGGTAATGGAACACCAGGAAGATTGAGACATAAAAAATGGTAGTAGGCTACATGTCATTAGCTGCTTGTCTTGAGACTTGCTCAGATAAGGTTCAAATAAGGTGAATTTCCATTCAAGTCAATCATTGCAAGATTAGGTCCCATAATACTTTTAGCCTCGCAATAATTGCATTCACGGTGATTCACCAAGAGAAAATTAGATTAATATTTTTTATTGCTTTTGAAATTCGCTTGGCATTGACTAGAATGAGTTATTCATTATTAGGGCTGGGCATTTCGAATCGAATATTCAACTCGAATCGAATAGTTAATTATTCGAATCGGTTCAAAGCTAAATTTCGAACCGCCGCCATCTTGTTTTTTGTTTCCGCCAATGATCGAGGTGAATGTCATATGTCAGTCAACGCAATTCTAACATATGACTATTTTCTGTAGTGAGTTATTGTTAAAGCGTGTTTGTTATTGTGTGTGAACGCTCACAATCTATCTGAGTGATGTATCCTATGTCTTCAGTAATTTATTTGTTAGAGGACCAATTACTATAAAAAAAGTCGCTTACAATTATATATTTCCAAGTATTCGAAATTCGATTCGATTCAAAAAAAATGATTCAATCCGATTCTGAAATCACAAGATATTCGAAAATGCCCAGCCTTATTCATTATTTGGTTGGGCTTAAGAGTGTGTATAATGGAGTTAAGGATTTGAGGTTATACAGGGTTGGATATTTTAACTTTCAACTTTTTTTAAGTTGATTCTTGTATAATGTATCTATCTGCTTTTGTTTTTGATTCGAGTTGTCGGATCTTCCGCTCTAAATAAAGCTCTAGTATTTATTAGTATTTGACTCTAGCCTTATCTTTGACTTTCAGAAAGACAATGTTTTGGGAAGGTTAATAAGAGAGCCAGCCCCAAATTATTTTTTATCAGTATTGGTACCTTTTCATTGATATCGTTATTGGCTAAAGAGGTATATTGGCACATCTCTAATAGAAGTGCCAAGCCATTTCCTAAAGTGGAAGCATTACTGAATCAAAATAATGCTGCATGACCCCTATTCTTATTATGTACTTTCCAATAAAATCAAATATTTATTTTTCAGTTGAAAAAGCATAAGAAGGTTCACGACTTATTAGCGGAATTTGAAGAGGGAACACTGGACTTTGATCCTACATATAAGGTGATTTTTATACCAGAATCAAACTTTAGTAATTTGCAAATTTAATATTTGAGCCAATTTTTTCGGTACTTCCGTAGTATGTGTACCAGGTTAGGGTTAGACCATAATTTTATTCAGATTTTGCTTACTTCAGTTCAATTATGAGTTTGAGGACTGTCTATGTTAGCCAAATGCATATACCTTCTGCCCATAGGTTTCAGTCCCTTTACACAACTTGATGTAAAGTAGGTGAACAGAATTAGTTACCTCCATATTGGTACACACACTTCTGGAGCGCCATTTTTTCTGTTATTTCTAAATTTATTTCAGCGTTTCAAAGTTTTACAAATGATTTACACCCCTCTGAGAAAGCTACAAATGATAGCTTATTATGTCAATTTCCTAAAAGGACAAATTTTAATATGTGAGAATGTTTGGAAAGAGTATTTCCGCATAGTCAGCATATGAAAATGAAATTCAATTCAAAATTCCTTAACTTAGGTATTATGTCAATTTCTCAAAATGACAAATTTGGATACGGGAGAATGTTTGAAAGCTTATTCCACATTGTCAATAGCTAAAAATTAAATTTCCAAATCAAAATATCAGAATATTCAACTCGGAAATTCCTTGTGCTTTATGTGTGGTAATGCCGAATAGTCTCTTTCAACAGGCATAATATTATTATGTTGTGTACTAGAGTCTGGGGATTGTTGTGATTGTGATCAGCTGTTCATTACTTGTTCCTTTGAGATTACTTTGTTATATGGCTCATAGCTTGATAATACAAAAATTGAGTGCTTAAATTTGTAAATACACTTTTGCTGCTTCGCAACCATGCTGAAGACACTGATTCTTCACTTTCTGTTTCGATCACACTGCCCCATTGTGATGTCACAGTGCTGTGGGCCTGTGATATCACAGAGAGAGTTCAATTACTGCAGATGTGTAGCTGAAGCCTTTTTGCAAGTTTATGAAGTTACGTCATCTCGCTTTTAAATGCTGTTTCACAACGAAACAAGTGAACCCATCTCAATACACTCTGTCATATACTTTTGTTCATTTTTGTGTTGTGATCTTTTAATGTTTTGTTTTATTGCACAAGGCCAGGTAATCATTGAAAAAATTTCAAGGGGTTCGTCATGGAATTTTTTATTAAAAAGTTTGGTAACCACTGAGCTGCTAAGGTATAAAGTTTAAATTTTGCAAGAACTCAAGAGTCTACAGTGGATGAGTAAAATCGCAAGCACCAACGATTTGCAGAGAGCTACACTCATGTTAACAAATATCAGTCACAGTTTCACAATAAATCTTATTAAAGCAATTCAAATGAGAACTCTGTATTGAAAAATACCAAAATGACAATTTCTCTTTCAGTATGATCCAGGAACCGATACATATGACACCAGTGAGAAGAAGAGAAAGCCGGCCTGGACAGACAGGATATTGTGGAGGGTACACCCTGAAATCAGGACTTCAGGTTGGTTGAATAAAATATTTGGCTGGTTGGCCACGGATTATGACTGCACTCAAAAATACACAATGGTTTATTTCTGGTTTTCATTCAATTGCTCTGAACAACACAGATTGTACGCCATGAAGTTAGACCAGTGCTCTTCAACCGGGTATACGGGATACCCAAGTGTATACCGTACCATCAGTTGGGTATACAACTGATAAAGGGTATACAGCCCAAGTCAGTGATTCTAAACTCTAATATAATAAATTGTAAAATAGTCATGAAATATAAAATAAAAAGTCTTTTACGCAAAGAACCCACGTGAGCACATTGTTACATCACAAATTATATAGATAATACGACCAAGTGTCTGGGTTGATGATTTCAGTTGCCATGCGCTTCGTTTAATTTGTGTTGAACATTACTCACCTTGACGCTAAGGCCGTCAGTCAAATTTATAACTTTTGGACACTAGCCTATTAGATTGCATGATGATATTGCAGTACAATATGTGTTTGGATTTTATTGTTTTTTCAAGACTTATAAACATTGGTGTTTGTAAGGTATACAAAGTTCTTGAAAAATTTTAAATGGCATACCTCGATAAAAAAGGTTGAAGAACACTGTGTTAGACAACATTGAGATATATGGATCTTTGTTATACTTATATGTCCTAAACAAGACTCTGGAAAGGCAATGTGCCTAGAAACTTAATGATCAACTGTTTCTATGTGCCAATCCTCATACATTTCCTTCTGATACTGCGCTACTGTATTTTTGGAAAACCGCTATATTTCTGATTTGCATCCCCACCTTAATTATTACCTATCGATTTTAATTGGTAAGTATGTTGATAGGTGTTTGTCTGTTAGATGTACGCGATATCTCACGAAGGCGAGATTGAATCTGCTCCAGATTTCGCATGTGCATTCATCTTATCTCGTACCAGAATCCTATTGATTTTGGGCGAATTGTGTCTTATAATTAGCGAGTTATTAATTAACTAGTAATGGGACACAAGGTGGCACTATGGAGTAAGAGCGCTGTTTTGGGGGATCCCATAACTTTTGATTGATAACTCTTCGGTCTTTGACCGATATTCTCGTTACACTCTTAGTGAGGTGAGGAGGGCTTGCTGATTAAACCCGAACCGACAAACAATTTTTTGTTCATTTTAAGCTCCACCATTTACGATTTCCTTGATCGATGAATCATTCAAGAATCACAAAACTTTTCAACAAAGTGATCATAAACCTGTTACTGGAGAATTTGAATTCAAGGTCAGTTGATAAATAAAATATGCTAAAGGACGACCCCAAAACAAAAATTGGGGCATTTAGAACATATCTTAGAGCAGGGGTGTGCGGCAGGGGGCCCGAGGGCCAAAACACGGCCCCCCAAGCCATTTAGTGTGGCCCTTGTCAACACCCAGATTTTTCCTCATCAAGCATAAAATCCTAATTCGACAATATATGTTTAAAAAGACTCTCACATGGGTAGAAATACATAATGTTTTTTTGCACTTTTTACTTATCGATTTTAATCGGCAAGTATGTTGATAGGTATTTGTCTGTTTGTCCGTCTGTTAGATGCACGCGATATCTCACGAAAGCGAGATTGGATCTGCTGCAGATTTTGCATGTGCATTCATCATATCTCGTACCAGAAGCCTATTGATTTTGGGCGAATTAGGTCGTATAATTAGCGAGTTATCAATTAATTAGTGATGGGACACAAGGTGTCACTATGGAGTAAGAGCACTGTTTTGGGGATCCACTAACTTTCGATCGATAAGTCTTCGGTCTCTGACCGATATTCTCGTATAAATTTTATTCATTTTTGTATAAGTAATTGAGAAATTTATTAGTTCTGTTTTTTGGGGTTTTCTGTATTGTTTTTTTTCTTATTTCGGACTCAAATAAGTTTTGATATAAAGTTGACTTGATTTTTTTCTATTATGATAAGCTCGTCCAGACTCTTGTTAAATATCATATAAAAACAATTCATTCCAATTGCTTATAAAATTCGCTAATTTCAATTTCTTTCTAGATTATACTATCAGTAGAGATGCGCGAGACTAAATCCCAATCTTTTTTCAATGTCTTCGCGCTAGTGGATCCGTATTTGTTAGAAATACGCTCGCCACCGCACCTCTGATTACTCTGTGTGAGGTTCGAATCCCATGCAGGGATGGTTATGTGCGAGAGGATTGCTGGACTCCTCGCCGCGTAGGGCGGTTCACGTAATCGCTGGTCGGTTACGGCTTCCTCCACCATCAAGTCCATGTTTCCGAAAACAAATAACTAACTAATACCATACCCGACATGGAATGGTAACCTCACGAGAGGCCGTGGTTCGTCCTATGGTCAAACCATCTTATCACTTTCCTCTCCCCCGGGATAAATATGTAAATCCTATCCTATCTTATGTGTGTAATGCAAGAATGCTGTAGAAGGAATAAAATACCATAATATGCAGTTCAAGAGTCCTGCTGCACACTGACACAAATGTATTTCTTCCTAGATCGTTGATATCCCTTTCCTTGAACCCTTGCTCAGGATAGAGCAGCAAGGTGATTGGATGACAGACAGGAACGGGGAATACACTGTTGAACTTTATGGAGGAATGAGATGGAATAGCAAAGACTATGTCGGACTTTATAAGGTGATTTTGCTTTGTTTGTCTTTGTACAAATTTTCAAATAAAAATACCGGTATTTTAAAACCATTTAACACCCAATTTTGAACAAATTCGAGTAGGACGTCCCTGATTGATAATGCGCTAATGGGCATTAACACTTTATTGTAGCACCAGAAACTTTTTAAGGATCTAGGAGTATCGAGCCAGAGCCGAAGTTTTATTGAATGACCCATACTCCAGAGTTATGTGCATTTTCACCGGCTCGAATTTAAAAAAATTCTCACAACTTTTCTCTTTTTCCAGCACCCTCTCCAAGATTTCCGATCCTACCAAACCTACATGTATCTGCCTGATCTACGGAAACGAAACAGTAGCAGCAGTAGCAGTTCTAGTGATGATGAGCAACTGGTTCAAAGGTCACCACAAGATGTCAGCACTGAGACAAACGACAGGGTCAAACATTTGACCTTCAAAAAGTCACAGATCACAGAGCGCGGAATGTTCGTTCTTGGGTACTTTAGTTATAATATGCAATGTTTGGTTGCCGTCACGAAACCGTTCCAAGTTCGGTGAACCATGAATTTTTACTTTTTCATGCTTGATCAGGTATAAACCGAAGAAATTTTTTTATTCAACGCATTCAGAAGATTCATAAATGCTAATTTCTATGCAGTAGAGGCTCTCTCAAGTTTTTCATTTCAGTCTTGTATGGCTTCCCGATAATTTCACAAGATGGCGCTTATCTAGTTCGGGAGTCAGTTACGACTGGACTCCTCGCTGTCATGTGGGATTCACATGGCCGCTGGTCTGTTACAGCTTTCTACACCTTTAGGTTTGTGCATCTGAAACAAATAATTTGATAAATACTTGATATTCTGTTTCTCCATGTTACTACTGGATAGTCCCAGCTTTCTCCATCATTAAGTCCATGCATCTGGAACAAATAATTGGATGGCAACTCCGAAAATAGTAGCCCTTAAGGGTTAGATATCAGGTGCTGTTTTTATAGGGCCTTTTTTGAAGCAAAATTCACGAATAAGCACGTGAAAGTTTAATTTTTTTTTTATTGAGTTATGTAGAAAATATATAATGAGGGATATATAGTTTATCCCATCCTTTTTTCTTTGTATTAAATTCTTGCAAAGTAGCTATTTTTTGTTGTGCAACATTGTTGCAATTGTTTTTAATTTGAAAGAAAATTTTTTACTCGCTTCAAGAAGTAACACGACATAGTTCGATCTTTTATGTTTTTATGTCCAAGAAATTTTGCGGGGAGTCCGGAAATTTACATCTTAATCCAAATTTTGATTCCTGGTCGATGAAATGATCGAACCTGGTTTTGTTTGAGAAAACTAATATTTAACCACAAAAACTCTGCGAATTCAAGAAATGCATATTGTAATGTTGAAATATCGTAAATTTAAGGATGGAAATCCCTTTTTACTCTTTGATGAGTTTGAAAAACGACTCCTTCTTCAATATATTAAATCAGGGCTTCCCAAACTTTCAAGTTCGGGACCCCTTCCAATATATTACTGGTAAGACCCTGGTTCACGTTTAAAATGCTAAACAGTTTGATGCAAACGCGCCGTTTCTTGGGTCTCTCAATCAAAGTGGGCACTGTTATACATGGCACCACTTCTCTGTGATTCTATGTATTTATGTTTTGCATCAGGTTTAATATTTGTGTTTCGAATCAAAAGTATAAAAAAGTACTGAAGATATAGTTCTTTGTGTGAAATTGGTGTAATCTTTGCGACTCCTAAAATACATGTGCCCACTCCCTCAGTTTGGAAAGTTCTGTATTTAATCATGCTATTTAACCTTGATACATAATCCAGTGTGAAACAACAATAAAAAATGGAAACTGCAGCCTATGTTACTACTATACTCAGTTGCAATTAAAAGTTTTATATTTTAATGCTTCATATATATTTTGCTTTATGAATATAGATTTGAATATTTATGCGAAAGCCATTTTAATTAATTTAAAGATAATTGCATAATTAAAGAACACTGTCGAACAATTGAACATTATTCAAATTGAAATGTTGGTTTGCCCTTGAAGCAGATTACATACTCAAAGCTTCTCTTGTGAGGTTCCTATGAATTGGGTACTCCAGAAGTATGTGGACCAAGAATGCGGACACCGGAACGTAGTACGTGTACTAGGTTAGGGTTAGACCATAATTTCAGGTACAAATACTACAGAAGTCACTTGGTTAGTCCCCGAACTCGTAATAGAACTAAAATAAAGAAAATTGGAATAAAATTATGGCCTTGCCCTAACCTGGTAAACATACTGTGTTCCAGTGTGTGCCATTTTGGTTCACATACTTCGGGAGTACCATGAATTGTAATCATCAATGCGTATGATCCTTCGGCGGCTTCTGATTTGGTGCAATCTGAGCATTTTAACATATTATTTTTTAAAATTTTTATTGAATATCATTGCATTTATACAATGCTATCTTGATACAACGCTATATTTAAAATTGCTTTCATGGTTGCACAGTAGACAAAACAATCTTTATAAAATTATTGGTGGATAATTAGTACCCCCTTTTATCACTGTTTTTATGGGCTTGTAATCCCAAACGTTTTGGATTTTTCAGATGAGCATATAGCGTTACAAAGTTTATGAAGTGTTGCTTGCATATCACTGTATGATTCCTTAGCACAGTGGTTCCCAACCTTAAATTGCTCATGGGCCAGAGACTTTTGGCACTCATGCCCCCATCCCCGTTTATCATTCCAGTGATATTTGTAGTCTTATTCTTATTGGTTGATTCCAAATTCCATTATGTTCTAACAATTCATGCTCAATAAAGTGAAAACAACTCAACTAGTGAAATAACCTTATCAAGCAATGAAACTAGGAAGAACAGGGAGTTTCCTTGTGAAGTGAAAAGTAAATAATTTTTGCACCGAGAATAGTGGCCCATCTCCACCTGCTCTGTGGCCCCCTCGGGCAGCCACGCCTCCCGGCTGGGAACCACTGCCTTAACGTTTCAAATGAATATTACATCCTTAATCAGAGTTTAAAATATTAGTTTATCAATGTATTTATTAATCTGAGCTAGTATTGGCAATCATTTTAGCTGATGCATTAACATTTTTTTCTCTCATTTTTATGTTTCATGTATTCATTGGCATTTTAATCGCTTACTTAGGTATATTTTAACTTCAATTGTATCATTTGAAATTTATAAAGATTTAGATTCAATTTTATCAGTTACTCATCAAAGTGATTTAATAGAATGCTCAAATCAAATAATACGACTTGTTTGAAATGATTTATACTTGAATATCAGTATTTTTTTCAAGCATATACTAAGCGTTGCTGTTTTAGGGTGTAAACCTGAAAAAAAAAAATTGAAAAAAAGGCAACATTTTAATTCCTTATAGATTGCCATATTATGACTCCTAATAATCAGTTTTCTGCTCCTACGGAAATATCAGCCATGCTTTGATATACTCTCTATTTCTTTGTAGTTTTAGTAGTTCTTGACACGGGATAGGTTGCCTGGAGATCGATCTTCTTTCCTTCTAATTTCTGAGTGAGTACATCCTTAATGTGACCTTGCTTTGAATAAGTTTCCTGAAAAAAATTAAGGTTCGTAAAAATAAAAGCCATGAAAGTGCAGTCCAGATAAAAATTCGAAAATGCTATACTTTAATTCAAAAGAAAATACAGCGTTGCTTTGATACAACCTGGATAAAATAGAACTCATCCAAGATTAAACATTTGGGTACTCCCGTAGTGTATGTACCAGGTTAGGGTTTGGTCATAATTTTATTCTCCTTTACTTTATTTTAGTTCTATTACGATTTCAGGGACTGTCTGTGTTACCCGAGTGAAAAGCCAGTCCCTTTATACAACTTGATGTAAAATAGGCGAACAAAATTAGTTACCTTCATATTGGTAAGCGCACTTCTGGAGTGCCAACATCTGTATATATATGGCCTTACAAAAAGAATACAAACCTAATTTAAGCACTTGAATAGTTGTGCCATAACACTCAGTGCAATTCCTTTAGTTCAATCATTATAGTAAAACTGTGGCAAAGAAAATTGTTTTAGATCTGGAACTCTTGATTTTACTTTAAGAATCTTAGAAAAAGAAAGTGATTTTTATCATGGTAAGGTGGTCATGATTAAAAAAACTGCAAACCTTTATTTAAACCTATGGCCACCATTAATTTATCTGGTAAATCTAATTATTATTAAGTGCTGAATGTTGATTCTATTATGTGCAAATGGTTATTAATTGAAGAATATGATGAATTGTTGGGTTTGTTTTAAAAGGTATTATGGGGTGTCTTAAAGAATAGAATAGTTCAAAATGTCTTTTCCACCTGGGGACTGATTATTGAGTGCACCATTGAAAACGAAGACAGTTTTTGTAACAGGGGTTTGTTTCGAAATTTAAAGAGTGGCGTTCAAATTTGACTATTTGAAAAAGCGAAAAACCTCATTTTGAAAAGAGTAGCCTTCTCAGAAGAACACAGCAAGATTATATACTAGGGAGGACATAACTTATTAAGAGCATAGGGAAGGCTGACAAACTCAACTCAGATTCCACTACTCTGTTGATGATAACATTCCCCTCCCCATGTTATGAGAGTCTTATCGGACGTGAATTGGACCTATGGATCGTTTTGTTATTATGTTGTTGTTGATCATTATGTTAGTAGCATTCCCTTTCTTCTTGTGAAAAAGTTGTTTTTCTCATTAACTACTGGAACTTGTGGCAGTTACGTTTGCGTTAGTCGTGACGTTTGTGGTGCGTTTTGGATTACCGGTAAGTGTCCATACATACTTGAGCATCACCACTTTCTTGTTCTATAGACTGCTGTGTGGCACATCATGACCACTTCACTTCCTCCACCATTAGGTTTTCGAAAATAACTGGCTAACTGATCCCATACTGACATAGACTGGTAACCGGACGGGAGGCCGTGGTCGCCATATGATTAAACTGTCTTTATCGGCCTTTCTCTCCCCACTCCCCAGTGATAAATATGTGAATTCCATCCCACAATCAAGACTCGTGCTATATTTCAATTGAAAACTGCTATGATTGTTATTCTAAAATCCAATGCTTTCTTGACCCAGGAAGCAAGCACAAACATGACAGAAGTGAGGTAATAAAAATCTTTATTAAATACAGTATATCAGCGATAGAATAATACGAAGAGAACCTAGCCTCTTATATAGTGAGTAATAAATATATGAACTGCTGAAAGATGACTGATATCAAGGTCCAGCTTGAGATGATTTGACTTATTTCTAACAAAACATATGTCTGGTGGAGAGTAGGGCTGGTCGTTTTTGAGTCGTTTTTGAATATATAATGATTTCAGAATTGAATAATTTTTCGATTGGAATCTCAAATACTTGGAAGATATGTAGTTTTATTGTAATGGGCCCACTCACGAAAACAAGTAATTAATCTATTAATCCGACAGTTTGCTGAATGTTCACATACAGTAAGAAACAGGTTTCATCAATGACTTTGATGAAAAGAGTCCCTATGTCAGAATTACATTTCAAAAATGTAAATGAGGACCTATGGGGGGGGGGACAAAAAAAAGATGGCGGCTAATCAAAATTCGGGAGATAAAAACTAGCGAGAAATAAAACCGGAACTTCGGAGCCATATTACAGGGATAAATATTCAAACTGAGCAATCGAAAAGAATAATTCTCATGTTATAACTATGGTAAAGTCTTTGCACAATTGCCAAATACAATGGTTTTTGAATTGCTCGTATTCAACAGTCGAAATCCCTAAAATCTGGGAGACTCAAGGACTGCCCAACAATTTGATCATATTTGTGCATGGTGAATTCTTAATTTTAGGAATATTTAAATTTGTTATATTTGATATCAAATGATGACAGAAATTCGAACCTCAACTTCTGAAATTGTGAAAGAATGTTGTTAAACCAAGTTGTGTTGGTGATAAACCAAGAGAATATGAACATGCATCAGTGAAGAAACTTGTATATGAACAAAGTTGCGAACCAATACTGAAAGAAATATGATGGTGCATTACTCAACATTTTTATGCCACAGAAGGTCGGGTAGCCAGGGGTCACGTTTCCATTTATTTTATAGTATGACAAACTACTTGGTATTTGTTAAAAAGAATTCCAAGTATTCGATTGGGCCTATCCCAAGTTATAGCACAAAGTAACGCTAACGAAGATTTCCATGATCTGCAATATTACTAGTTTTTACTTAAAATGTCTTTGGCAAAGTTCAGAACATCACAACACTGACTTGTATTTGCATGCAAACATAACCCAGGTAGCGACAGCGTCTTCAGGAAACACAAAAACTTGGACACGAACCGCTAGTCTCACGCTATCACCACGACAACCAAGAATCTCAGAACAGACTTGGTTTTTGAGACAAGTTGCAAACGCTCTTCTTGCGTTTCGGTGAAGAAATTGGATCGGAAAACCTTTAAATGTGTGGCCGTCTGGTACCGCTCTGCGAACGGCCTCTTGGAATTCTTCGTTCCCAGATGCAGGTGGCTCCCCCCCACTGGCTCGCTCACTTTCGTATGCGGCAAGCGCAGGAGAGAGGATGTAACATAAATGGTCGTCCCAGCACGTCGATAGCTCCAAGTCAAGTCGATGTTCTGCTACGAGCATACGGAGTTCCGTCTCCATTTGGCTGCTCACAAGAGCAGGGTCAAGGGTCGGAGAGAGCAATGGCGCCACCGGTGGAAAAGATGAAGACTGTGCACAAACGGATTTCACAGCTTCAAAACTCATTGGCTTCCATTGAGATGAATTCGCTAAATTAAAGTTGCATGTTTCAACAATATCAGACGGTTGTGAGTTTGCGTAAAAAGCTTCGTGATTGTAAATACAACCAATACTCTTGTATGGGTGATTGGTTACAGGTTGCTTTACTGCTGGTGGATCATCTGGCGCCACCATGCGGTGGATGTATCGATGACCTGTAACTGCGTCCCAGAAAATTACAGTCGCACCTTCTGAATAACGAGTCACAACCCAGGTGTATGCTCCACCCCTGTTTTTTGACCCGACGCAGACGTAAGCGTCAAGTCCGAATCCAAGCAATAAACTGCATAGTAGATTCGAATGGTCTTCGTGGTCGCCTTTTCCGAGCGCAAAGAATGCGTGCGAAGATCGCCATTGTTCCACGTTACCTCCGGAACCTACAGTTGGAGCTCGTTCGTATCCTAAAGTACTAACAAATCTCGCTGCTTGTCGAGGTGTATGGAGCAACCTACCAGCTCGAAGAGGTTTCACAAAACTACAAACAGGGCGGTTTAAACCGGTTTCATCCTGTGCAAAAATTTTTACAGTACGTGTTTGATGTTCCTCTCGAATTTGTAGATATTCTCTCCACCATTGTTTTGCATAAACTAGAAAAAGTCGTTCTTTTTCCGCAGAACGCCGCCTTTCAAGTTGACATTGTGCGTCTACGACTTCTTTTGTCAAACTCACACGGTTTTCTCGTGGCACAACTTCTAATTTAGCTTCCAAAATACCAGCTGGGATTTTAGACTCCGCTCCAACACCCATTAACTCTATCGACACCTTGTGGGATCCCTGTGGAGTAGATAAAACTTTCCGCCACTCGAGGGAGTCTGTTCCAACTAGAGAAATAGTACCGTCAGGGTCTGTTCGGGTTAAGATAAGATGAATCGGATCACAGATTGATAACATAGTTTCTGTGTCGGCCATTCTACCCCCCTCACCAGCAAAATGTGTGTGAAGTTCGAGCAGAAACCCTTCAGACAAATCAGGTTCGCAGGCAACTTGCACAGGTCGTGACCTGAACCTTTGACCCCGGAATAGCAAATGAAGCGTGAAAGTTGCACATGGTCTTGTCGAGTCGCCAGAAACGCCAGGATATTTCGGGGCATTTAGATGATCAATAAAAGCCTTTCCTCCGAGTATTTGGATAAAAATGTAACGCCGTGTCGGATCAACAGCGACTTTGTTTTTCAGTTCCGCTTGAATTAATTCTTCATCAAGATTTTTATGGATGGATGGTTTTGTTCGAGCAGCAATGATCGGTGATTCGTAACGAAGTCTCTGCAGAATTTCTTCCACAACACCTGAGAAAGTGAAAAAAGAAATTTAAAACTTCAACTCCCAACAATGGTGAACTAACTAGGCATTGATGAAACATGTTACTTAGGATAGGATTTACATATTCATGGCTCTACCATATGGCGGACCACAGCCTTTCGTCCGTTTGCCATTCCATGTCGGGTATGGGACTAGTGGTGGATGGTGGCGGAAGCCGTAACCGACCAGCGGTTACGTGAACCACCCTACAGCGAGGAGAAATCCTGCAATCCTCTCGCACATAACCACGTCCCGCATGGGATTCGAACTCACGCAGAGTAATTAGAGGTGCGGTGACGAGCGAATTCCTATTGCTTAGCACGATTAGCCGCACCGTATTGTGTGTGGACACCCAGTTAACTAACTGAGTGATAGATTACCGGTATGCGTTTTCACTAATTTATCTGCCTGGAGAATCTATTACAATAAAACAGTCAATACAACTACATTTCTTCCAAGTATTCAAGATTCGATTCTGAAATTATCAGATATTCGATAACGCCCAGTCCTAATAATTGCCGAGCAACGCTCTTCTTACTGTGTAACATGGCTTGAAAAATTACAAAAATTCAAGCGTCATTGTGCTGTAATAATCATGTGCAGTAAAGCATTTTCAGCATTATGTTGCAAACAATATCTGATGACTCCTTCATCTCGATTGAATAGTTCACCAAATAAAATGTATAGGATGGATAACGGGTACAATGTAATTTGTTTGTGAAACATCATCATTCCCTTTCATTATAATCATATCAAAAAAAATTGAATATGTAATTGAAAATTAAAATTTCTATCTGCGAGCATCAATGAGATGACTGGGAGAGTATTCTAGCAATACTGCAAACTGCAAAGTGAATCATGATTATTGATTGAATATTAAAGCGGCCATAACACTGTAACACTGATCATGCAATCAGAAATATTTGCGCACTGATACAATTGGAATATTTCGTTGTAATCAGCAATTTGTTTTTCCACCAAGGCTGAAAATATATAGGCCTACATTGTAGAATAATATAGAAAGTATCATCACTATGTTTAGATACTTTTGTTGATGCAGTTATATTTGGGATCTAGATGAAGAATCAAGTCCACGTATCTGGAACAAATAACTGGTTAAGTGCTCACATACTCAACACAGACTGGTAAGCGGTAACCCATGAATCGCTATGTCAGTGGATGTGGCCCTTCAAGTGGAGTAATAAACAGGGGGCCATGAGTGCTAAAAGCTTATGGAAGAGGGCTACTAGCTATAAAAGGTTGAGAACCAAAGCGTTTTTCACACCGTGAGAATGAACCCACAGAATAAATATGAAAATCGTAATCCCAGACCTCAAGTAGCTTACTTACCAGTGTTGCAGCACACAAACGAACAAATGTATTTTTGTCACACTCCTTCAGGCAACCATAATTCAACTACCGTATATGCTCGTTTTACTGCCCGATCTTGATTAAGGGCCAGTTTGAATACCGCCCGTGTGAACAGAACATAAAAATAAATAAGGGTTGGTGCTTGAATACCCGCCCGATGTAAAAGCTGATTTTTCAGTGGTAGAGAACAATAGGAAATAAGAAGCGCTTTTGTCACAATGGATTAATGTCATCCAATATTTGTCTTCAAAGATACCGTAAGTTTTGTGTATAATTTTACTTTAAAAATAACAAAGAGCCCGCGCTTGAATGAGGGCCGGTTTGAATGAGGGCTCAGTTAGTGAGTTTGATTAAAAAAATATCGGCCCAGGCTACAAAACGAGCAAATATGGTAAATTTAAATAAATCACCTTTTCTTTTCAAGTCTTCCATTATGTCCCCTTCAGATATTTCCGTCCGATCATGTCCAGCTCGTTCTTGATTAAAACTTCCAGCCAAAACATCTTTAATCTGAGTCTGTATGTTCGCTTGTACAAGTTGGTTATGAATAATCTGCTTCAACTCCGCAAGCTTCTCTGGTGGAAGAGCCGACGCCATATTCACTGATATAATGACGCAGTTAAATGATTAAACCCTGTTTCGATATAAGTATACGTTTATTTCGACTACTTACCAGCATAACATACGATATGATCAGTTTTTATTTATTTGTTTTTATCACCTACGGCCCGCGGGCCGAACCCGGCACACGCACTAATATAATCCGGCCTGTGGCACATCACTGAATTATAGTTACAAAACAGCTGTTTCGACGATTATAGTCTTACATCTGCACATACCAGAATTGATTGCGAGACAAGTGTAGACTAAATTATATTGTTAACTAACAAGTATATAATTCACAATTACTCGTTTAATGAGCCTATAATTTAATTATAATTTAGACAAATGGCAACAAAACGCAGAAAAGTTGATGCTAAGTGTAAAGGGTTCAATGGCACCGATAATATTCAAATGGAATTTTTTGAGATGCAATGCAATGAGGAAATAAAGCTATATTCTATTCGAGAGATGTACCGTACCGTTCGATTTTCCACTTTCTAAAAATATGTGCGGCCCGCCAATGACTTGCAACCCTTATTTTGGCCCGCGAGCAACAAAAGGTTGCCGACCCCTGCACTACGGTATGGTATTTCATATCTGTTATGCTGATTACTGGATGGAATCAAAATAACTTATTATTATTATAAAATACGGTAATTGATAAAAATGAATAAAAAATGTTTATAAAATCAGGGGAACAAATATAACATGTACAGGACTGCAGAACGGAATATATAGATATATTGTGAAATGTTTTGCCAAAATAAAGAGATACTGATACGGTACGTCTGTACCGTACTTGTTCACTTATCAATGAATAAATCATATTATTCCAGTTCTCTGACATAAACAGGCAAACAAAATGCAGAGATACCGGTAGTCTACCTAGAACTGTAGAAGGCGAGCATAACTTGAAATAAAGTTAAAAAGTGTATAATTACCGTACCGGTACCGTACGTCTGTGTGCGCCAACCCACTAAAAAATAAAAACAAGCACACAAAAGTGAACGTGATTCAGAATCCTTTTAACACAATTTAAAAACAAGATTATTGCACCGTAATACGGTGGTAAATGATTAAACCTCGTCTGTTGGTCTGGATATATACCGGTAACGAAAATACCCACTGATATAATAATAAGATTACATATCTCAATTTTTTTCGATAAATGACTGCAATAGTTTGAACCGTACCGGTACCGGTACCGTACGTTCAGACGAAAGCCAGTACAGCAGTAATACGGTGCCGGTACGATACCGTAGCCTATGGGTAGATAACAGCAATAACCACTGATGTAATAACACTATTGACTATATAGAAAGAAGCTTCGATAACTCTCTAACTGTTAAAACATGAACAGTAGAATCCAACCGTTCAGCTGCAAACCGAGTTAAAACTCCGCGAACTAGGTTTGTTTTGTTTTTGAAATACGGGAATTTTCAGTTGACGATACGGGTCAATGATTTGCTAAGGATCATTGAACCGCGTTACAGGTACTGAAGCGTGACTCTATTGATACAATTCAAAAAATTATGTCCGCGAGATGTCGCTAGAGAGCAATGAGTTTTGTTTTTTAAATTGAAATCTTGAAGGGTAGGTCGTTTTATATTTTCATTAATATTGATTTTTTTGTGTGTGATTATTTTGTGTTTGAAACCTTTCTCGAGATTTGCCCTTTCTGCTGCGTTGTACGTTGAGACAAATTCTTTTAAAATAATAGAAAAACACAGCAGTGAAAGCCAAGCGGGCGGTTACAACGTATTTCCGGTACTAAAACCTCTTTCTATCGAACTCTCTTGTATGTTTATTCCCCGGGAAAAATCATGTTTTCTTGTCATCATGATTTATTAAAATTGTTGTGCCGTATGCGTTAGTTATATATTACAATAGCAGCTATAAGAAAAATCAGCTTACTCTGTCTCACCCATTCTAAGCACGGTGGTAGGGAGGACTTTCTTGCGATTTGGGAACGGATTACTGTACTGTACTTACTGAGTGTTTACCCTCGCACATCAATATATTTGGAGAGCAAAGTAGAAAAAGACCGATTCTACTCTTTTCGAAATTAATATAATAACCAATAGGGACAATTATTAGGCCTACAGCATCACCATTTTTCGACAGCGAGTGTTCTTTAATCCATATATCTGTAGGAAAAGCACATACACGTCTCACATTTTAATTTGAATTTATAAGATATTGCCCGATGTCACATCGTGTTTTTGCTTTATTGTGTTTTGACTGTTTAGGGGGACGGGCACGTACTTGTACGTATTTAACTTTATTATAAAGTTATGCCCGTCCTCCAGGTTTTCTGTATTTTGTTTGCCCTTTGTTGTTGTTTTGTTTGTTGTTTGTATCAGAGTGACCAAATAAAATTGATTGATTGATTGATTATGATCTTTGATATTTGCAGTTATATCTTATTTTGTCTAAAAAAGTTAGACTATGATCCAAAGGAAGCCAACTAATATACTTGCTATTTCGGGGAAAGAGATTGTGTTATTCATGTTTATCTGTGTGTTCAAGTTCGAGAGAAATTATCCTATCTGTCTATGTCTAAAGGGTGAGATTTTCCATTCAGTACATTTGTGTCCATGTTTAAACTTTTTTCCTTGTGTGTTGTAAGTTTTTGAGCCAAGACATTTTAATGCATTTCCACTTAATGCTGACGTAATTTGACTCGATTTTGTTAAGCCCTAGCAGAGAGCATTCGTCAATAAGTAAAAATGCCCGGAAACTCATGACTGCCCGTTTGACTGAAATTGTGGAATGTGTACGTAAGACATCACGCGCACTGCCGTATCGAATTTCATGTTCTTAAACAAAACGTCACATGCACTATTGGACGTATAGAGTTTCCTGTTCCTACGCCAAAACGTCACGTGCACTTAAGTATGCGTGGGAAGTTACGTTCAAAAATTAAGTATCACGTGGTCTTACGCACGAGTAGGAAATACTGCAAAAGGTTTTAGTGCAGTTTCTAATGGATGTTAGAAAGATTTACTTTGATATGTATGTAAGTATGTTTATTTGCCTCAAAAATGTAACAATATCTGCATAATAAATAAACAGTAAAACAGAGACGAGATACATGTTCAAGACCTTACTGGCCTAAGACACATATGTGCGACATGTACTCCTAACAATTATAACAGCAGTTTAGGACTGCTGCGTTATAATAGGACAACAGACATGCAATAGGCTATACAAATAAAACTCTAGTAAAATACACACGGGTTTAAACCAGTATCACTGTTGGGTAAAGTGGATCTTTTGTACGAATCCCCCTAAATAACACCCCCGCCAACGCTTAAAATAATAAAACGAGAATATGGTCGGAGACCGAAGACTTATCGATCGGAGGTTAGGGGATCCCCCAAAAGAGCGCTCTTACTCCATAGTGACACCGTGTGTCCCATCACTAATTAATTATTAACTCGCTAATTATACGACATAATTCATCCAAAATCAATAGGCTCCTGATCCGAGCTATGATGAATGCACATGCAAAATTTGGAGCAGATTTAACTTCGCTTTCGTGAGATATCGCGTGCATCTAACAGACAGACAAACTAACAGACAAATACCTATCAACATACTTACCGATATTAAGATCGATAAGTAATAATAATTAGGATAGGATTATGGCGAGAGCTGGGAATGCAAATTGCGCTGGAAATCTAAATTTTCGATTCATTACTGAACCGATCCCGATAATTGCTAATTTAATGTCCAAATTCGGTTATATCCACAAAATGACAACAAAATCAGGTGTATTATGGAAGAGCGTAATATTTCACAACACTGACCTAGAAAAATTAGAAAGCCAATAATTCTTGAACAACATTCTTATTATTGGTGACAAGGCTTGGAAAATTACAGACATTTTAGCGTCATTGTGCTGAAATAATCACGTGAATTCAGGCATTTTCGGCGTTGTGTAGCAAACATTTTCTGATGTCGGGTTCTTCTTAATTAACACAAACCAAGTGATTTTATCCTCGTTGGAATGCCCAGCGTACGTTAATAATCATGTGAAGTTACGCATGATTATCATCACGTAATTAGTCTGCGTGAGTCACGCATTCAGACGCTCTTAATTAACGTAGGACTAAGCTGAGTGGAAAATTACAGCAATTTATACTTCAAGTAACAAACAACCCATGATAATAATCACGTGAATTGTTACGCATGCGTGAAACCCAAACGCATTCGAAACGTCTGACGTAACTTACGGAATACCGAATTAATACTGTCTACTGTAATTAAAAATGGAAAATTAGTATGAAACATTGCGCAAATTTATATATTTCATTTAGCAAAGTTCAAATCATATTTAAATGCAACATGTATCATTTGAATCACCTAATGATCAACTAAACAAGCTAATGTTCACCCCCCCAAAGTCCTTATATCTGTGAAAAAATTGACTGGCCAAACTTCAGTTTTTACTTCACCATTGACATCTAGCTGAAACGCTAGGAAAGTGAACAAATGGGTCGATGCTCGGAGAGACATATATTATGATGTCACAATTTTTCTTCAGTGGTTTAGCAAAAAATGCATCACATTACAACTGAGAAAAAAAAATAAGATGCTTTCAAAATCTAGTAACAGTAAATTCAATTATCGGAAGGGTGGATCCCGATCGTGGCCCGCCAGTTGAGTAACCATATTCCATATACCGAAATTCAAATCATATTTAAATGCAACCAGAATTATTTGAATCGAGTATTCGCACAAAATGTTTTATCACAAAAATACTGCTTCCTTTTTAATCTATAAATACACATCGCGCTATAAATATCTCGTGTTATTTTTTCAGTTTCATAAGGAAACCCTATCCAACGCATATTCATATTTATTTAAGATCGTCTTGATTTCCTTTCTGGCCTATTTCTTGTTATTACGAGTGTTAGTCCAATATTATAAACAAACAGTAAATTTGCTTAAAAAAACTGTAAGAGATTCGGTAATGGGTGCCCATACATTCCCTTTACAGTTTCAATTTTGTTATGAAAGCAATTCTTAATATATTTTAACCATT